GTAATAATTTTTTTATGTATCATCAATTAAATAATGTATTATAATATATGTATTTTTTTATTATAAATCGATTGTTACTATTAAGAATTAATCGAGGATTTTTCAGATGGTTTTCAAATCATTCAGATTTATCATTATCAATTCTATTATATACCTCACATATTAAATTGTAATAATTTTGTTTGATTTGATATTATGGATTTTAATTTATACTATAAATATTCATTGATTTTGATAATTTTTAATTATTATAAAAATCAATATTTTAATCTTTTTTTTTATTTATAATAAATGATTGATCTTATTTTTCAAAATATTCGTAAGAAACTTTTTGAATTTTATTGAATTCTATCAAAATTTAATTATACTATATAGTATATTAATTATACTATACTATAATATACATATAAAATATATATAAAAATATATAAACTTTCTATAACACATATATATATATATTGTATATAACAATAAAATATGATAAAATATGATATAAATATATAAAAATAAATATATAATTTACATTTACATAAGATATATATTTTTAATATTTAAAAATTGGATCGAATAAGATTTATTATTTTTGTTTTATATTTTTTATTAATAGACATATTTAAATAAAGAAAATAATAAATCAAAATTATTTTTTAAATAAAAAATTTTGTAATTTAAAAAAGGACAAAAATAGGATAAAAATATGAGAATCGATGCCATTTTCAGAATATCGCAAATAAAAGTAATATAGAAACAAATAATTAGAAGAGGATAGATTGATAGAGTAAGAATTAACAAATAAGATTATTAGCGTCCTCTCTTGACTATCAAAGATATTACTTCAAATAATTATATTTCCGAAACTATTCAAGAGATGGCGCTGATTCAAAATTCTTATTATATATTATTGTATTTTTGAAAAAATATCTTTAAAAAATAAAAATCAATTTTTATTTTATTTTTCTCCTTTTATTTATTTGTTTATTATTACCTTATTTGTAGTTGCTTTTAATGCGGCCATAAATGAGAATATAAAATGTTGATTGAACATATTATTATTTTTCTTTCAAAATTAAAATTGATATAAAATATTTAGATATTAAATTTTTTACAATGTATCTTTAGGATGATGATTTCGTAATACATATATACACTATAATACATAATCCAAGTATTTATTACAAGACATCGTTCAGCAACAATTAATAAATAAATAAAAATTTAAATAAATAAAAATCTGGATTGATAATGAGGAAAAGAATTTTGAATTATTATTCTATTAAAAAATTTTATATTTTAAAATAAATTATATAAAAACATTTAATAAAATGATAAATAAATTGTAAATAATATGTATAATAATATTTTTAAAATTTTAAAAATATTTTATTGAATAATTTTAAAATAAAAATTTTTTCTAATTCTCATTAATAGTATCTTTTTAAGATTTTATAATTAAAAGAATGTACATAATAATATGGAATTCTTCCAATTATCTATTTCAAAATAGTTGATATAAATATATAAAATATAGTACTTCTATATATACTTACAAAATATTTTATAATACAAATATATTAAATATAAAATATTTAATTATTATAATTATTATAATTATATCTTTTTTATTTGTAATTTTACATTGAATATTTCAATTTTCAACAATTATGTTACAATATTATTCTAAACCGTATCGGTAAGGTTGAAAATGACATTAAAATGATAAGATTCCAGTATTTCCAGGCATGGAACAAAAAATGCATTGAATGTTAGATCTATTCCATATCTAGTTTATGCTAATAGTTTCGAACAAACAGTTTCGCGCCGAAGCTGTAATATTCACTTTGATTTATGTAATTTTTTTTTTATATCTTATATTTCAAAAAATTACTCATATATTACTCATATATCTTATATATAAATATTAACATATTTTTTCATTCATTTGATGAAGTGCTTAAGTTTAATGTGTCTATTGAATTTAACGTGGTTAAAGTTGTAAAAAACTATACTATTGACGTAGTATAAACAAGTAACTATAAACACTTATAGTTTTAGAAGTAAAAAATACAAAAGTGAAAAATATATATTTTTTTTATGTTTTCTATTATAGCACAATTCAATTTTAAGTTTTTAATAATTTAAAAAAATTTATTTTTATTTTTGCTAATAATTTTAAAATTAACTTTTTCAAATCTTAAAATTGCATTGAACTATACATAGTTAAATTTTTTTTATTATTTAAGAAAAACTGTATAACTTTTGATATCAATTAATAAGTCTGAATTATGTAATAGGTAATAATCCAGATTTTTCTGTCTTATTCCATCCTTTTTCTAACGATATAATTATAATAGTTTTTTTTTATTTCATTTGAATTATGATTTGATAATTTTCTTCAGCTAAAAAAAAATTGTTTAATAATTCTATATTTTCATATCTTATATATATTTATATATTCATACAAAATAAAATCATTATTTACAATGTAATATAAAAATTAATATTCTTTAATAAATAAATTTTTAATATTAAAATAATTTCCAAATTATTTTAAAATAATTAAAAAAATTAAAACTGTACATTAATGTTAAAATCTGATTGCATTAAAACATCAAAATCTCGAGAAATTAGGCCACGTTTTACAACGCCAAAAGAAACCGGTAATTTCTATCTTCTTCTTTACTATAGTTCTACCGTTATGTTGCGTAATGTATGGCGGTGTTATCCGAACAGATCTGTTTTCGTCCTTCGAGTGCAGCAAGCACACGGTGCACCGCAAAAAAAGTCAGTATATGTGTCATAGTTTTAAAACCGTTTATTAAATGAATTTTGCAATAGTCCATTGAAATATAATTATTTGTTTAATTATTAATTTAAAAATTTAAACATATATTATGGATTATATGTTATTCATGTTCATAAATTTTTATCAGTGTTAAGGATGGGGCAATAAGTTTATAAAAAATTAATTATTTTTTATATTAATAATTTTATTTTCAATTTGGAAGAAAAGAAGATTAATATAATGTGTGTGTTGTATACTTTGAATATATATTTTATTCATATACTTAAGTGATTTTAAAGTTGAATATCATTAGGAATTCTTTCAAGCGTGAGTAAATTGTTTTATTGAACTCAATTGAACATAACATATCATATATCGAATCACTAACCTCTATTTAACAATTTATACTCTCTTGTCATCTAAAATATAATTTTCTCAATTTAATAATTGACAGGTAACATATAATATAATCATAATATTTTTCTAATTATTCATATTTTTTTAAGAATATACTTAAAATTATTATTTACATTTTTATATAATATTTAAAAATTCGCGTTTTTTTCACAATTATAAATTAAATATTATAAAACAATTTTTTCATAACCTTAGATTACTGTGTTTAATCTAAAGTATATCATTGGTTGTCGTCCTTGACAGAATCGATCGGTGAAAGAATTGAATGGTTTCGCGCCATAAAACAAAATCTTCCTTTATCGGATATACACTAACGTTTTAATCATTTTACCAAATATATTGAAAGCGTTCCGTACTAATATTTTTTATATGCATATTTTTTTTTTAATATGAATTTCAATATGAATTCTTGCATTAATTATTAATTATAATTACCAATCATTGATCGTTGTAAATGTTATTATCATGTAATTTATTATTTCGCGCTTTTAAATTATGACTCTGCAATAATTACATAGTATGAAAAATAAAAATTTGTTTATTTTATGAGATTATAAAAATTTTTCTTTATATATCGTAATAAATAATGATTTCATAATATCTATCTTATAGCAAAATATTTATGAAGAGCAAAATGATTGGAAAAATGTTTACAACAGAAGATATTTTATATAAATACATGCGATAAATTATTCCGGATGAACTATGACTTGTAATTTTTGATATGATATGAAATTATTTTTTTGTTTTTAAAGTAAGATACTTATTTTTTTTTATGAGATTTAATTTTTTTATAATAATGCACGCATCAACGATAAATTTTTGAAATATATTTGACTAAATCGATAAAAACTAAAGGCAAAATATTTATTTAATTAATATTTTTCAAGTCAATAACCAATCTTAAACACAGGTGTGTAATAAGAAAATAAATTTATCTTTAAAATTTATAATATTATCTGCTGATAAATAAGTTTTGAATTATTAAAATTATTTTTCAATTATTGCATTTTACATTCAAAATAATAATTAAATACAAAAATTTTATTATTGATAATAAAGAAATTTTACAATTGTAAAAATATATTAAAACTTCTTTATTCATATAAAGATGCATCATTGGATTTTTTGTTAAAAAATATAGAATTTTGTAATTTTATTTTTCCATTTGTACTTTCTATATATTTTACTTGTTCATATTTTTTGGAGAACGGTTTTACTTGATAGCGCAACAAGAACGATCAGTGAGTCAGCCGTACTGGTAACCGGCTTCGTCTGTCTTTCTCTCTATCTTTTTTACTGCAACTTTCGCGATCGTCCTTTTCCTTCCTTGTCAATATTTGGTCTCTCCCCCGCGTATTACTTTTTTCTTTTTTATCTCTGTTCATCCCTCTCTAGCTTTTTATCCTTTTTTTTTTATTTGATTTTAGCGCGTTTTTTTTTTCTTTCTAACTATATCAGTCTTTTTTATATTCGATACCGAGTTATTTTTATCTCTCTTTAACTTCTCGTACTTTTATTTTTTTCGATGAAATAAAATAATGATGGGATTATCATTTTTTTATGCTTTCTTTTTATTAATTATATTCTATATAAACTTAAATCGAACATTTAAAATTTAAATTGTTAGGAAAAGAAACGTAATTATAAATGGATTTAAAAAATATAAAAATTTGGAGAATCTTGAATATCCTAAGATATTTTGCCGAAATATAATATTTAATTTATTAAAAATAAATTAATAAAAAATTAAATTATTTTGGATTTTTAAGTTTCTATGAAACTTAAGTCACGCATTTGAACCAATCTAATGCGTCTTAAATCCATCGTTATACCGCAGGCAATTCTTTTCCTTCTTTCTCCAATCCTGCAAACTTCTCTCCTTGAGAGTCTCACTCGCTCCTTTGTTTCTCAATGCTCTAACACTTTCGAGCGAATCGCAACAGGCGACTTCATTGCGCACCGTTCGCTCGTGACCGTTCAAGCAACGAGGTTCCGATGTATAAGTTTTTTGTATCTCTTATTTACAAATTTAAAATAAATATATATTTTTGATACCATGATAAATTAATTTTGGAATATTTTTAAATTAATTCATAACAAAATATAATTTTTTTCTTTGCGAAAATCACAATCGAAATTTTGTGTAGTGAATAATTTTAACAGTGATAAAACAACATAAAAGGAGTGTGATTTTTATTGCAGTGTTTTCAAAAATTTTTGAAAATATTTTACATATGTAAGTTCTTAGAAGAAAAATATAGTTTATGATTTATAACATTTTTGTTTATCGAGTCACGATTTATATTATCGCTGAATATGTACATTTGTTTTACAATATTATAATTTTTTTAATAATATAGTTTATACGAATTTAACATATGGCTTCCAGAAAAATGTCATATGACAAAATGGTGTACATGAGTATATAGTATCAAGTACATTATGCCAAAAACAATACTATGTTCAATGCAATGTATAACGATAACCTTAACTATGTCTGTATGAGTTCCTTTGAATTTTTTTCGATTTTATTGGTTCTATTAATATTTATATTTAATTAGTTTTCTCAATAATTAATAAATGCACCGTAATTAAAATACAATTTTATTTCTAACAGATTATAACGAGTTATAAGAAATTTGTACTTTTTTATTTTGATGAAAATGATAATAAAAAAAAATATTGATATATTCAATATCTTCTTTTATTTATAATAAAGATATTTATTGACATGTATGTTTCAAAGTTTATCTAAAATATTATATTGAGTGTGATTATTTATTAAAAAAATGAATTATATTTTGAAAAGATAGATTCATAACCCAGATTCTTATTACAAAATGTAAATTTGAAACGATTAATCGTTCATAAACGATTTCACGCAATATATAATATAAGATTATATATTTTACGAAATATAAATATAAGATTAAAGTAAAAGTCCTGATAAATAGTTATGCAAACTAATTTCAGTTAATGTGCGAGATGTGTTATTTCTTAATGGTACTTCTCTTAGAAATGAGTCATTCCTGTAACAAATTCTTGTTTGATATCTTACTAATTAATTACTCATAATTCATTTTTTTATTACAAAGAGTGATAACATGAAGAAAGTTCAAGGAAAAAATAAAACATTGAATATCTGATGTTATTAATATTGACTGATTATTTTTATTAAAGATTATAGAAATAAATATTATACATATTATAGAAATAAATTTCATTTATAAAATATTTCATTTATTTTGAGGGAGTCTGTTTTATTTTCTTGATTTGCAGAATACTTCATATATCATTATCTATTACCATTATCGATATATACTATATTTTATATTTATTTTTATATCTTGAGATATATTTTTTGATTTATGAAAGATTATAAATATTCATATACCGATAAGATTTAAATTTTATTTAAAATCGGTAAAATACAATAATTTTTTTTTCAATTTAATTATAATTAATTACTTCAGATTTGTGGTGAAGCAGAAAAGAAAAAATTTGCAAAATGTCTGAGTATTGTGAATATATGTGGGATACTACAAGAGGTCATATGAGTTCGGCACTTGCACGAAGTATTTATGAAGAGGAAGCTAGATTTGATAAACGCGACAAGAAATTGGCCATTAAGACTGTTCGAGCAATATTACGTGAAATGCCGGATGTAGGTAAGAATTCGTAACGTTTGAAATTTTCATCATTAAAATTTTTAATGAAAATTTTTGATGAAAATTAATAAATTGAAGATACGATATTAATATATTAAAAATAATTTATATTATTTCATAAAAGTATATTGTAAAGAAAATATATATATTTTTTTTATTATAATTCTTTTAAAGATTCATATATCAAAAAATTCTTTATATATTTAAATTCATCATAATTACTATAATTTCGTTTTAAACATTTCATTTAACTTGTCCCATTAACAATAGTAAATCAATGATTCCGTGCAAATGAATTAAGCTTCGGTTAGACTGATTCGTTTTCCATACGATTCTCGAATTTCCGGGTCGAGCGGCTTCCTGCCACTTAGTTTTTCACGTGAAGCATTACAATGACCCGTCTCTTTGCTCCTAGACTTGAAGCATTGCACGGATGAATATATTACGCGTTTCCTGTTGGCCCGGAAATATCGCACAGAACAAGCTGCTGCCCTGATAGCTGCTTATCAAGCACAAGTAGCACATCGACAGGATATCTTCGGTAATCTCACGGCTAGAGATCCAGCCTTACAGCGCGCACTTCGGGCAGGAATACCAGGTGTACTTCCTGCACGCGATAGGTACCAATTTAAAATTTATTTTGTTTTACTTAACAAATCCTAGATCTTTTTTTTATCCAAATTAACATTTATAAGAAATTAGTGTTTTTGAATAATTTTTAAGAATAATTTTTTCCTTTTATTAATTTTTTTATTTCTGTATTTATATATTTTTAAATTAATTTTTAGAAAAGGAAGATGCGTACTTGTTATTTTAGCTTCACAATGGGATCCGATCGCAGTACCAGCATTATCAGTTCAACGAGCTATTTTTTTAGTTCTAGAAATACTTATACAAGATCCAAGAAATCAGGTACAATGATTAATTTTGTAAATTTATATTACATTTGAAAAAATGCAAAATGAAATTATTTAAATATTAAATATTTTTTAATCTACAATTTTGAATGTTTCATTGCTAGCAATCCGGTTTCGTGGCAGTGGTAGATTGGAGCGGATTCTCTTTACGACAGGGCGGTGCCTTAGGTGCAGCGGCATTGCGAAACCTAATAGCTGCTCTTCGGGGACGATTTCCTGCTAGATTCAAAGCTATACATTTCTTATCAGCGCCGCTTTATGTTCAAGCTACGTTGGCTCTTGTAAAACCTTTCTTAGACGAAAAAACTCGAAATAAGGTAAAAGAAATTGTTGAGAATTAAAATATTTAAAAATATTTAATTACAGTGATTTGTTATGATTTATTATGATAAAAAATAATTAAAAATTGATTAAGAAAATCTTTGATAATAACATAATAACTTTATAATTGCATATATAATCATTTAATACAGAAATTAAAGTAGTATTATATTGAGTTTTTAGATATCGGAAATTAAATATTGACCAAAAGATAATAACAATTCTAAATTATCTGAAATCAGATTTACATAAAACAAATATATAATTCTATTTAATAAGTATTTTTTTTTAATTCCAAAGAATTTCAGTATATTATCTCCCAAGAATAATTCTTTAAGATTAAGATTAATTTTTTTTTTTAATTATTAAAATATATCTATTTAATATTTTCAGATCTATTTACATGGAAACAATTTGAGCACTCTACATGAACACTTACCCACTGATATTTTGCCAGCGGAACTAGGTGGCACAGGGCCAGCATTTAATCCAGGATTATGGGCTGAACCAGTTATTCATTCAGCAATGAAAGAAGCTGAACTGGCTGCAATAAAGAAAGAAAAAGAACAGGCTGAAAATGTAGAACAATTTTATGATAAAACATTTGAATCTGGAAACATAGAGAGTCACAAAAGAAATGAGGCAGATTCTATAAAATCGAACAATAGTATGAATAGAGAAAATGGTAGGCGATTTTTCAATCCCTTTAGTAATTCTATAAAAAATCAGACCTCAAAGAAAATCGAAGGAACAAACGTAGAACTGAATCTAATTAATCGCACTAATGGATATGCAGAAAGGAAAGAAAGTGACAGAATGATAAAGGAAGATGAGAATTCTTATTTTAAAAATAGAGATAAAATATTAAGCAATGATAATGTAAATTATTTTGATGATAAAACAGAACAGTATAAAGATGCAAAAGATAATTTATTAAAATCTCAGTCTGAAAAAAATTTAAATGAATACGAAATCTCAAATAGGCCTGATAGTGACGATAGTAAGGATAATTCATTGGATAACAGATCAGAGAATGCATTAATTGATTCAGGTAAAATCGAAACTCTTTCAGAAGAAACAAATCTCATAACGTAATATTAGTTTTTTCGATCTCTTAGATTAAAACAAATTAATAAAATACTATGTAAGAAGTCTTGACATTTTGATTTTAAATATAATTAAATCAAATGTTATTGCGCTAGGCTTAGATCTAGAATTAAATCGTAAAATTTAGTACTTGCATTTTGTAAGTTTTAAGAGATATATTGTGATATATGTCATTTTATAAGTATATAGACATTAATGAGGCTTTTTATAAATATAATATCCCTTTTTATAAATATAAGATTTTGCAATAATTGGAACCAATTCTTTGGATAATTAAAAAATTGAAAAATTAAATTACTAAATTCTGATTTTTTTTTTTATTAATTTTTATTATTATAAGATATAAATTTCTTTTTATAAAAGCTTTCAACCATTATTATTATTATAATATGTTATTATTTTGTTAAAATGTGAAAAAAAAATACATACATGCTACAAATTTATGACAAAAGTAAAACGAACATTGCTAGAAATTTATGTTCCTCTTTCTATTTATCTAATAGACATATTTACATATAGTTTTAAATAATTTATTAATTTACATTGCTAATTTAAATTTATGATATATTTATCTGCGTAATTTTTTTCAATCGACTTTTATCATTATCCATGAAACACACATAAGTAAAAAATATTGTTGCACATATGAAATTCATACATACAAACATTACATATTTTTTAAAAGTATTTGTACAACGATTATTAGAATTGTAAATATGTATTAAATTATTATTTATTGACAACAAAAAGAAAAGTTTTATAAAATCAAAGATCTCTCATTTCATATTACATACTCAAAAAAGCGTATTATGTACTTAGAATTTTAAGTGTGATAGAAATTGCGTCATAGATATTTTTTTAGTTCTCTTAATAATATATTTTTAAATAAAATAATATTTTAATATTTCGATTATTTTTCTTAGTTTTATTTTATAATAAGAACAATATTATTACAATAAAAATTCAAATTTACAATTGTCATTATAAATCAATAAATTGTAAAATGGAAAATTTTAATTTACTATAAAAATTGTATATTATTTTTTTTTTATATATAAGTCATTGGTAAAAGAAAAATTATGATAGAATAATAGAATAAAAATTTATTTGTTTAGTATAAAATATATATGTATACGACATTAACATTAATACACATTATAAACATAAAATTTTTAATACTTTTATCACATTACCGAAAGCACCCTACTACCATGTACATAATTC